CAAATATTTGCTCCGCGTGATATGGGAAGGTTGACACATGCTCTGTTACGTATGAAAAAAACCGCGAGAGCACACGACAGAGGAGATCAATCGCGCGTGCACGTTATTTCGCCGGCGTGCAAAATTGCACGGCATCTCCGGGAGGAGGGGGGGTCGATCGATTTTAATCGCACCGTGATATCAAGAAGGAGATATCAATTTCGAGGCGACATACACACAGCGGCTGTGATATGCGTATATATGTGACATATATACATTCTCGTTTATATACACAGCGATCATTGTTGAAAGTATCGTCGCTGTTTATGGGAGATCAGTTTCCCGTTAACTTCTAATCGCTCTTCGCATTTTTGCGGAATACGTTACGACGGAACTGAAAGGAACATTCGGTAATATGTAACAAAATTGAGTAACCGTTACTAAATAATTCGGTGAAACATTGCCGATCAAACGTTCGGCAGTAATTACTGAAGAAATAATTTGATTGGACGAAGTGAATGTGTAGTTTTAAGATCAAGATTTCGTTGCTTGAATTATACGTTTAGATCATCAAATTAAACTTTGGTAATTAATATCAAATCTTGATGGCAGAAAATGAGATATATTTCCTAACTATTACTGAACGTATAGTCCGTAAGGAAAATTGTTTAAGGTAATCATCATCATTTTACTATTAAAATAATATAACATAAACTATAACAATTAAAAAAAGAGTTATTGTTCTACGTAAATTATCTTAAGATAACTTGACATTCCTACTTCATTTTAATGTGCTTTTTTTTCACTTCATGTGAAGAAATCCTCCGTAGTGATCACATGTGCAACTATTAACCGCGATCCGTGCTGTTTTACTTCAGTGATTAGACAGAAACCGACAAGTCCTACAAGTTATCGTCATGTCTTTATATCTCATGTTTATAATATGTCTTTATATGGAGAAAAAGAAAGAGAATAAAGAGTGAATGAAAGAAAGAGAGAGAGAGAGAGAGAGAGAGAGAGAAAGAGAGAGGAGGAGGAGTAATAAAGAGAGAGGAGGAGGAGTAATATTTATCAATAGTTACCAAGTATTTTATAAGAATGGGAGTGAATGATTTTGTAATACTTATCAAATATCTAATAATAATTATCAAACATTTAATAACAGATGTTAAATATTAATATTTGGAAGCAATTACTACTTTATTTAGTTGATCCAACTCTAAATAAAAGTCGTTCACACTGCCGGCTCTCTACTTTTTTGCAACAATAGTGCGTAATTAAACAAAATTTTACATTACATGAAATTAGTTTTTATTATCGCTTATCGATCTACATTTCGAGTTTACACACATTAGAGAATTAAGAATTCAAACGTTCTGAATATCATAAATCAACTGAAGATGTGTGTCCGATATTTTCAAGTATTTTTCCTTATTCTGCACGCAGCAACTTGGCGAAACCTTACATTTTGCTGATTCCTTCTGCTTGTCTTTCGCTTTAACCCGCGTTCTCAGGCCATATTTCCTACGACGCGCAGCCTCCACCCTCTCCACCTTCCCCCCTGTCGTTGGCTGCCCCTACGTGCGCTTCCTACATTTTCTCTCTGTAATATTTCTCCGCTCTTCCGCGAGAAAATGCGCTCTCTCCGACGACTCGACCCTTATCTGTAATAATTGAATTCGCATTATATCGGCGGAAAGTCGACGGAAAAGTTGACTCGCGTCAACGAATCACGCTTGAAATTGCGAAAGACAATGAAAAGATATAAAGGAATATATATATCGTCCCAAAACTAATCTTAGTTTCCGTGGTGTACAAATAGAACGAGTGAAACTGAGCAGAAAAGTCCTATGTCATTTTGCAAATATCACGCAAAATTTCGAGTTATCAGTGAAAATGGTCATTTATAGAGTCTTCCTTAATTAATGACTCAACAATTTGCGTGTCATTTGCAAAATGGTGGCAGACTTTTTTATTCCGAATAGTCTAATCTACAAGTATGTGACAACTATCGTACCAAACGACGAAGTTCAAGATTCAAGGGTCAAAGTTCAATACACTGATGTCTGTCGTTCGGTACAACAATTGTCATATATCTGTAGATTAAGCCACTCTGAACGAAAAAGTTCTGCACCATTTTGCAAATAACACGCAAATTTTTGAATTATTAATTAAAGAAGCTTCTATAAATGACCATTTTCAATCATTGATAGCTCGAAATTTTGCGTGTTATTTGCAAAAAGGTAGAACACTTTTCTACTCAATTTCATCCGTTCTGCTTGTATACTACAGGAACCAAGATTAGTTTGGGACACCCTATATATACATATGTTTGTACGTATTAGGTTGTTACAAAAGTTCTGTCAGTTTTTTAATCACAAATTTGAGAAAGATTGTACTTGTAGAAATTTGAGCTTTTTAATCACAAATTTAAGAAGGATTGTACTTGTAGAAATTTGACGAAAGACCACGAAAGACTGGTAGAAAATCAACTGCAAAGAAGCACATGCAAGAAACTGACAAAACTTTTGTGACAACCTAATATATTTGTACATATATATATGTGTGTATGTTGTAAGATATGGTGGATACGAACGAAGAAAATTGCCGGTCCTCGCATATCGCTCTTTCTGCTCCATAGCGGCAACTTGATTAGATGGATCTACGCGAAAGGCAGAATGGACCGAGCGAGAATGTACCCTTTGATTTTCAAACCTAATTTGTGCATTCATCGCAAGAACAAAGAAAGCTGCGCGCCCGTTCGCTTAACGAGGCTTCGCTTTCGTCTTTAACGTGGAATCTTTCGGCTTGCTGTTTAAAGCACCGTGGCGGAAAATGGAATCCTTCTTACACACCGTATCCTTGCGATGAGATCGCACAATATTTCTCCGTAGTGGAAAACCTGTACATGTACGTGTAATAATACATAAAACAAATTGCAACCATATCGTCATTAAACATATATTAGTGCTCTTTAATATTGTTCATCAATATTATTTGAGTTTATTATGCGTTTTAAAAGTTTCTGATGGACGGACGCAAAGTTACGTTAACACTGAAAACCCACTTTCAACCCAAATTTAATAAACATTGATTTGAACTATAAAAAGTCTATATTAGTTTATATACAGGATGTCCCAAACTAGTCTCGTGGTAGAACGGGTGAAACTAAGCAGAAAAGTCTTATACCATTTTGCAAATAACAGGCGAAATTTCGTGTTATCAATGATTGAAAATGGTCATTTATAGAGGCTTCTTTAATTAATAATTCAAAAATTTGTGTGTTATTTGCAATATAAATTATCTCTTTTTACCATCGATATAGTTTTATATATTGTATATTTAATACACGGAACTAATAATTATTTGGTTAGAATAATAAAATATTCGGTCGCAAGATGTTAGCAAATTTTCGTGACTTATTGCCGAATTCCTTTCTCAGTGTGCCTGCAAATACTCAGCTGAGAATCGTCGATGTTGAGCCCGAATCATCGGCCCGAATGCATTCGGCTGGAATTCGAAGCGACGAGCGACGATTATTTACCGCCGGGATAAAGTCGGACGCGAACGATTCTCGTCTCTCGATCGGAATTTTTTATTAACTCCCGTGTACTCAGCACGCACGGAGCTTAACGGAGATTGCCTTCAAGTCTCCCGACGTGTATCGTGAGATACCTTCGGAAAATTGACATCAGTTCTCGTCTCATCACTTTTCGACAGTCCGACGGTGTCGACGCGCAATAGACGGGACGCATTTTGGAATACTTCGTAGCTTTCGAAATGTTCGTTTCAGCGAGAAATGTGAATATACATCTCGCTGCGAACAGATACGAAATCCATCAACGCGATTAAAGCTTGGCCACAATTATTTCGGGAGCCGTTCTGTTACCGTTAAATAGAGACGCGTGTACGTCCATACCGGCGGGTCATAGTTATCCCCCCCCCCCCTCAAATCTGCTGGTGTATCAAGTGTAACGGCTGCCATGTGCCATTTTTGTTTTTCGGCCTTTTTCCCCCACGTCGAACGAACGCGGATAACGATTATTGCGCTTTTTCTCGACTATTCGCCGGTTGCGCGCGTTGTTAAATCGGAAACTGCCGCGGCTGAAAAAGCGGCTTACGCGACAGCGATCGATTTGACGTCGTTTACTTTCTCTTAACAGAAAGTTTTTTTTCGTGTCATTGCTCGTCGTTTATATATATACATATATATATATATATATAGTGCAGAGTGTATGTACAGAGTGTCCCAAACTAATTTCGGTTCCCGTGGTGAGCGAGTAGGACGGGTGAAACTGAGCAGAAAATTCCTATATTGTTTTGCAAATAACACGACAAAATTTCGAGCTATCAATGACCGAAAACGGTCATTTCTAGAAGCTTCTTTAATTAATAACTCAACAATTTGCGAGTTATTTGCAAAAAGGTAGGAAACTTTTCTGCTCAATTTCGTCCGTTCTACTTGTATACCACAGGAACCGAAATTAGTTTGGAGCACCTCGTACATACATATAAAAAACCGGAGATTGTTTTCGCTGTTCCGCGGACTATTATCAGAGTGGGAGAACCGCGTTCTCTGTTCTCGTAGATTTTTTGCGAACGCCCTCGAACGAAAGCTCGAAAGATAAGTAAATACATACGGCGAATGAGGAAGGGGGTGAGGGGGGGGGGCGATAGAAAATTTGGTGGCCGATTCGCAGCACGGCAGTCGCGTCGAATAATTTACACGTGGAATTAGCATGCGCCAAATGTATGATATTTACGCGAATTTCGTTATTTGCATAAAAATTATGCAGTAGTACGCACATTTATTTATTTTTTCACGGTTCAACTGGCGTGCGTTCGGCACGCGTAATATCCGAAGGCTGGATCGTTGAAATAAATTTAATCGTATCGCCGGAATGTCGGTCGCGTACGCGCTCGCGCTAATCGCAGCAAATACCGATCGTTTCGATATACGACCGGTTGACAACGATTATCGTGTTTGAGATATAACGGGGAGCTTTTTTTTTGTTTTTCAGCATCTATCCTCGGTGTGTCACACGGTGGGATCGTGAACGCTTCAGTACCGCCAGCGAGCACCTAAAACGAACGTAAGTTAGATCTGTAAATAAATTTTTTTATAACATATTACGTATTATTGTAATATTGTTTGTGATAGATTTGTCTGCGCGTAAAAATAACGAGGACACAAATGCGCGTTCAAGGTGGGGATCTTTATCGGTCCGAAAATCGATAACGAGAATTTCGCGCGAGCGCTAATCTCGTACTCGCTGCATCAGCAAAGAATACTATTCGTTCATCAAGTCGATCGCATTGGTCAATAAATTTTGCATCATAAATTGTATCCTTTCTGAATTTCATTGTTCCTATTTACGTTTATGCGTGGAAACAGAAAATGAGGATAAGAAAACGATTAAGCTGCATTGTTTAAGAATATAGTCGATATTTTTAGTTTTTGTAAGTTAATAGCATATGAGATATGAAAGTAAAACAACAAAAATTTTTGCTGTAATATCTTATTTTTTTATACTTCATATTATTAAAAACCTAAAAAATTGTCCTTTTGATTTAAGGCTCTTATCAGTCTTAGCGGTTTCGAAATATAATAATATTACAAAGAAAGGATAAAAATAATTTCTATCCCCGTGTAAAAAATTAACTCTCACTGACTGTTATAAACATCATTTCAAAGTAAATCATTAGCTTTAAAAGAGATGTTTTGGAAGATATTCCCTTTTCTCAACACTATGATAGCCTTAAATATCAAATTTCCTTTTGGAAAATTGTTTTTTATGACGACAATTCGAGCTACGTTTTGATTGTAATTGTTACACTTGTGGTCAATAGCAAAATTAACCAAAATCGAGTAAATTTTTCGATTGAAGCAACCAAAGTTTTTTTTGTCCAAACCGAAGGTTTGGTTCTCCGAAGTTTCCGAGGCTGCGAAGAACCGAATCTTCGGTTCGGAGAACTAAACCTTGGTTCGTAACGTTTTCGTAACGAAAAAATCTGCCCGTAGTCGAGCAAAAGTTGAATTGATTCAACTAAAATGGGTTTCTCAGCGAGTTAAGGCGCGATCCGCGTTGTTGTGATACGTTAAACTTCGCAACCCTCCCCGAGGAGGGCGGACGTATTCCTTTGTAAATCGCAGCCGCATAGTTGCATAGTTCCCGTCCGAAGTACCCGGTCGGACATTAAAACGCACGGCCGCGAAATGGCAGGGCCTTAACGGCGACGACAATGCCGCAATAATAATATCGCGAAACGCGCGCGATCCGACCGGAATGGAAACGAAGTTGTTGCAACGAGCGACGTGAGTTTCGCGGATTAGTCCGGCCGATGCGAGAGCGACCTGGAGACGGTGTGTTCTCTGATAGTTTCCTGTGACCCGAAGGGTTAATAACGCAGCAGCGGAATTTTCGCGGAAACATTGTTCCGGGCCGCGGATTTATAAGATTTCGTCTTATTTGGAAAGTTCGCGCAATTTCACGGGCCGCACACCGTCCGTAAATATTCGATCGGACCTCGAAATTGCCGGATAATGCGAGGTTCGTCGACGGGAGTTCCAAGAGCGAGCGAACGTAAGAATGCGTGGGAATGAAACAGAAACATCGGAAAACGCGAGTTGTCGAAACCCGAGGCGAAACTTCGATGCCGCTCCGACGCTCCCGAGGATAATTTGCGCCCACTTAGACGGCCTGTGGATTAATTAAAACCTACTTCGACGATATTGATTGACTTTTTAACTTCTCTTTGGAACTTTGGATTCTACAGACGGAATTTCAACGCTACCTCCGTCATCCTATTTTAACACTAAAACAGCGGAAACGGAAATTTAAGGCGTTATCAGGGTCAACGTAGGGGTTATATTATATTATTAGAATTGAAATCGAAGCTGTTTTGCTATCTCAGCTCCTACTGTGTTGTAGAATTAAAACTTTAACGTAGGGCCAGAATTTCGATTGTTTGCCGATGACCTCGAATCTTCTCCCCCAGATTGGAATTCGCAATGCAACATAGATGATTCTTTCAACGACGAAAACACAGAAACCCGTGTATACACGCGGAATTTTTATTGGATAATATATCATATTTAATGGCACAATTTACTAGAGTTGTGTTACGTGCGACTGTAGAATATATTTATATTCAAGCCAAAATTTACGTACAACAGCAATGAACGAATAGTTCGGTCGGATATATTTTTAAGCCGATTGTATATAAATTTACTATATGCAGCATGGTCCACGTAAAATGTGACAAGCGCATAAGTCTGATATAAAAATATTTGCCGAGTCGAAAAGTTGTTCGTGAGAAAATGTGTTCAAAGTTCGCAATTCACCTTTCTAACTACGTAAATATAAGCTCTCGCTCCTTCTTCGAGGGGGGACGGCAGGTAACTTCATAATTTCAAGTGGAACTTCCTGTAAAATGTTACATTTTTTGGATTCCACGGGAAGAACAGGTCAATTTTATCTGAAACATTTTTTTGAAAAATGCTTCTATCTGATTAGTGAAATGCATATTTTAATAATAAGAAATACGTACTTTGTTAATTTTTTCGCTCGCAAAATATTCTTTAATCTTTGCTCGACTTGGACAGTACGATTTCAGTCGCTTGAAGTTGAAAAAATAGTTACAAATAAATATCAAAAATCGCTTTATATTAACGGCCAATTTCTAATATATCAGCAACTATTCGAACCATCAACATCAGCAACATGCTTATAATTATGATATTCTAGCATTCACAGTGGCTTTTAATTTTATTCGAAATTTGTTATAACGGAAAGTACATGCAATTTCGAGTAAAAACACATTTTTTAGGATAAAAGTGTGGCTATATTATGTGATTTAGCAAGAATAAATGCGATTGTCACGAATTAAGACACTGTCACTAATTTAAATAGTCACTTTACTGCATTGAAATTGTTCAACTGTTGTTAGAAATTATTTGTTGTTATAAATATTTCTTAGCCAAACGAGACTACGATATTACTCATGAATGTTTGTATCTGCGATAAACAATCACGCTTCGTTGAGAACAACACGATTGCATTAGGTTGATGAACGCGCTTTACTATACAGAGTATTCGAGATTTTTCTGCCAATCGCTCGTGCTAAGATTGAACGGATGAAACTGAGAAGAAAAGTCCATTATCACTTTGCAAATCCGCAAATTGTTTATTTACTAAATAAAGAAACTTCTATAGATGATCATTTTCAATTATTGAAAACTCGAAATTTTGCGTGGCTGTTTGCAAAATGGTAGGAACCTTTTCTGCTCGGTTTAATCTGTCTTATCTAAGACACGATCTGTCGGCAGAAAATTTTCAGACAACCTACATATACAGGATGGGGCATTTAGAGACACTTTAATATAACAAAAATTAAACAAAGAAAGAAATATTTCAAACAAAAGTTGCAGAGTTTGTAGAGGGACATATTTCAGTGACCTTAACTTAATTGTACCGTCATTAATTCAAGATCATTTCAAGGTCAACTTCATTTCTTTTCATGGAATTATTTAATTTTCTCAGTACAAATCGGTTTCTCTATGTTCGTTCTGTTTATAAAAATAATAGGGTGAGATCATCGAAAAGTGAATACTTTTTGAGATATTGTACTTTTTATTCCGACATTTTTCAATATTAGATATGAAATATCTTATGAAGTATTCATTTTTCGATAATATCACCCTGATACTTTTATACGCAGAATGAACAGAGAAATCGATTTGTATTGAATAAAATTATATAATTTCAATAAAAAAGAAATTATCCTCCAAATGACCTCGAATTATTGACGATACAATGAAATTGAGGTTACCAAAATATATTCCCCTCCAAACCCTACAACTTTTGTCCGAGACATTTCTTTCTATTTTGCTTTCATTTTCGTTATAAACACATATTAAGGTGTTTCAATTTAAATGTTCCACCCTGTATGTACATGCCCGTGTTTATAAGTAGATACAAGAAGAATTTATTGCCGAGTATTACAAAACGATGTCGCCCGAGCGATGAACCTGTACGATTCCGCGCTACGTACGTTTAGTTTGTTATCTCGCGAAGGCGCGTTGCTCGCGCCTCCGCTTATCGATTTTGCGCGACCGCTTTATCATCTCCCTTTTTGCCCCTGTTCGGTCTCGTCATTGAGTGTTCTTATCCCACTAATTTTGTTTTATTTTTATATTTCGTTAAAGGACGCTCGGTATGTGCGCTTTGCGGTCGCCATGATCAAAGTTGGACTCACTGTTTTAAAGGAAAAGAGATCGGCGGAATGTCGAGAGATGTCTGACAAGAGAACTCCGCGGCCATTTCTTGAGCAGCTTCTTCTTTCTCTTCCCTCCTTAACAATCTTCTTAACATCCGTACCAGGAAAGAGATCAAGGGAGATTACCGAGAGAGAGAGAGAGAGAGAGAGAGCTATCAGATTGCTTTCAGTACCATAATTTTTAATTCGTCCAATCTCGGACGTATCTTGCGTCGTATTTCGCGAGAAAGGAAACGAAGATTCTGCGAGCGGAAAAGTGAATCGAAACAAAGCCGCTACTTCCTTTTACCCGAGTCGAAATTTCGATGCTACTTTGACACTCTTAAGGGCAATTTACACCTATTAAGATGGCTCACAGACTGCTAGAACTTACTTTTACGACATTATACTTGTTAACTTTTCTCTCGAACCTCTTTAATTCTATAGATTTAATTTTAATATTACCTTCAACAGCCTACTTTAACCTAAGCCTAAAATAGCGAAAGCGAAAATTCAAGACTCTATCGGGGTGAAAGTAAGAATATATTTTATTGTTAGAATTTAAACTGAATCTGTTTTGCTATTTTAGCTTTTATTATGTCATATAATTAAGAGGATATTCTCATTTGGAACGCTTCGTTCGGTAGATGATTTCTAGAGTTTTGCTTTAGGAAAACTGTGAAACGTACAATTCTCAAGTTTTTTACATAAATATTAATCTATGCTTTAACTACATATGTTAATTTTTGCAGATTAAATATTAATTCTTCAATATTAATAAAGTTATAAATAATTTTGTCAGCGCTAAACTAAAAAAGAGAAAGTTGGCGATTTC